CCTCGCTTCTGAATGAAGCTGAAGAGGTCGTCCAGGAACTCCTTCCTCCTGGGGTCGCCATCCAGCTCGTACAGCTGTGCAATGAGAGGAGAAAAATGCTCAGAAAAAACCCTTACCTGTGCCCCCCGCCACCCCCTGCCACCCGGAGAGCCCCAACCCTCCCGAAGCAGCATCCCTGGGGCTTGTGCCCGCTGGCCTGAGCCGTTCAGCTTGCCGTTCGGCTCAGGGGGGTCCCTGCACGGGGCCACGGGATCCTGAGGGTCCCTGTGGCTGGGGGCTGAACTGCACCCATGCCCTGGCAGAAGCCCCGGGACGGCGGTGCCATCCCCTGCCTGCCCCGCTCAGAGCTTGGCCCCGAAACACCGGTGCCGAAATCGCAGCGCTGCCCCACGTCTCGCCCGCAGGACGGAGCAGCTCCCACGCTGCGAGCGCCGCCATCGGCCCCTGGCTCCTCCCGGGAACGCCGATCCCGGTTATTTTTAGCATTCACCGTGTGCTTGGCACGGAGTGGAGCAACGCTTTGGTGTGATCCATCCTCCGCACCTGCAGCGCCGGAGCCAGCGCCGGGAGCTGGTGAGCTCGTGTGCCACTGTGCGAGCTTGTGTGCCATGGTGTGAGCTCCTGTGCCACTGCACAACCTCGTGTGCCACGGTGCGAGCTCGTGCCTGCCGTGTTGTGCTCAAAGGGGCTCCCTGGGGGTACAGCCCTGGCAAACGAGGGCTGTGACGAGGCGAGGAGGGTGCTGAGCTGGACCTGGCTGCAGGATGCCCTCCCGGCCGTGGCACGCCACTGGCTGCCGTGCCGCCTGGCAGAGCCGGCTCCCCTCTGCCTGGTGAGGCTGGCGCTGAGCGTGGGCTGCCCCGGCGAGGCTTCGTGCCCGTTGGGCAGCAGCCGTGGGGCTGGCAGCCTCTCCTCCTGCAAGAGCATCTCCCCCCCCAGGCCGCCACGCTGCTCAAGGCACAGCTGCCGGAGCAAACCCGGCAGGATGAAGCACACCGCACCGCGCTACACAGCCGGGACACGTCTTTCTGAGCTGGGGCAGGCAGACCCGGGCAAGGCTTCTGGCCCAGCCATGCCTCGAGCACCCGGTTCTGCTGGGGCAGCTTTTGTCGGGACCCCACCCCGCACCCGACAGCCCGGCACATTCCTGCCTGATTTATGGCAGCAGGATCTGCTGGCCTGAGCGTCCCAGCACGCAGGCAGGCATGCCACACCAGCTCTGCCTCTCCCCGGTGCTGGCAGCCGAAGCCCAGCACGGTTTCTGCCTGGAGGCGGTGGCTGGTGGATAATCCTCCCCCCCCCCCCCCCCCACCCTCCCG